AAAAATATGAAATTGGGTTATAAGATGTTATTATAAGAGTTTCTGAAGGTTTAATAGATTAAGTGATAATCTTTGCTATGGAGTATAGAACTTACCCAATTCGCAATATTATTTGCCTAAATTTAAAGCGAAACATATTTCTATTTTAATAAATTTCTGTATGGTTTTTATAATATGATTCTATAATAATAAATTTTCACATGAATATTAATAACATGTTTTTTAGCATTTGAAAACTTAGAAATTACTTGTGTAAATAATTATTTAGGCATCACCGTATATAACAAAATTATAAGTTAGAGAATCGCTAAATCATAAAAGAATGTCCATAACTAACATTAAAGCTCGAAAAATCAATCTCAAGTTATTCTAGTTTATTTTTTCTCGACCCTAGAAGGAAAGCTATAGAAGATAACAGAAAATACTCAAATTTGGAATTAAGTATCTGTGTTAATTCTTATTGGACGGTCAATATATTTTATTTTTAATAATAAGTGTGATAAAGATAATTATAGAGATCGTAAGATTAATCACTTTAAATATCCGAATCACTTTTCAAACTGTTGCCACCAAATATTATCGCCTTTTATTTTATTTCAAGAAACTAAATGATGAAGAATATACATGAACGTAGGTATGTTTCTTGCATCGTGAAAAAGCTACGGTTCCTAGAGTCATCAAATTTTGAGTAACATAATCCTCCACCCGAATGTAGGCACCTAGAAGCCCGAATGTAGAATTTGTTTTATTTTCTATTTCGTATATTGTAAAAATTTAACGAAATTTATTAAAAAACTGAACAATTTCAAATCCAGCAGCGGCACTGCAGGGAATAAAATATTTTTTATCTCCAGCCCGCGAGACAAATGCTATTGATATACTGTTTTTAGATACTTTTAGCCCAATGGGCGTTAGCCCAAATGCTCTCCAAACGTGTATGTGTGCATAAATGAAGAAAACGCCCCTCTGGGCGTAATATAAAATCAAAAAGCTTTTTTTTTTTTTTTTTTTTTTTTGGTAATTAGAAGTATAAGAAGACCAACGGTTGTGAAAACAAACGCCGCATTAAGACTGGTCATGGTATATATGATTTAGAAAATAATTGCTACATCCGATCCGTACCTTTAAAAGCCAAATAAGTAACCCATTTGTTTGACGTGTTCTCGTCTTGTTGAGGATAGCAAATTTCTGCTTTTCTGTCACATTCAAGTCACTTACTTCATTTCAGTTCTTCTACCTCCGGATCACACACACACACACACACACACATATATATATATGCATAGTCTTCAATATTAAATAATATAGATTGAAGGTTGATGTCTGTTACCTATTTCGCCTGTTTTCATTAAGAAACTCGAAAGAAAAAAGTGTTTTGCACAATCTAATAGCAATGAAAACACAATTTGTAAAGTAAGTAAACATGAAACAATAATACAATCCTATAAGGAATACCCATTTTTTTCTAAGTACCAATTATTACCCATAGATGCTGAAGCTGCCAACCGGTACATTAGCTGTGTGAAGACCATTCCTTACACCTAAGCGAATCACAGCAATTTTTGAGCGCGGAAATGTTTGCTTCGAGAAGTTTCTTGACCCTTTCAGAGCCACTTGTTATAAAAGCGTATTTTCTTAACCGTTTGTTTGTCTTCCATGCTGTTATTTAAATGTTTTCGTACATATGCAAATGATGCAGATAATATATATTTAGCTGCATTGAAGCGATAATGTAACGAGATAACGAGCTTTGAAAGTAAATAAATGCCGTTTTCTTAGCATTGTTTCATTTACTTTACCATTCCCCTCTTTTGCTTATGAAAACAAAATGTTGAACAGCTGTAATTTATTCATCGAGTTTAGATTTCAGTATTAAAATCAGTTTTCATTTTCGAATAGTTAATTTATTGGTATTAAAAACGCCTATTGTCTGATCTTTCTATGCTACATTTTCACTTCACATTACGCTGCGTGATGTAACTTTATCTTACCATTAATCATCCACACGGTCTCACAGGTTTCCGACTCTTAAGAGCTGTTGCCATTTCCTGGGCATAAAATCTTTAATTTATTCTTCAAATTTTAGCCGTATATTTCTTAGCAAGGTCGTGGATTGAAAGACTTAATTTCTTTACAGATTAAGACACAATAACACGCCGAACAATTACTAATTCAGAAGTCAAACAACAAAATCAGCGTTATATTTTCGAAATTTTCACAGGACTAGTTTCGATAATTTTACCGAACCACCATCCTCAGCTGTAAAACCGCAAATGATTCTTTACAGATGTTAGAAATTTTTATAATCTGTTCAATATTCGCTTGTCGTTATATTTATTAAATTGTGGAACACTATCGCAGTATTAATTACCCAGGTTGCATGGCAGACTGCAAATTCTAAAGGTCTGTTGAGAATTTTGCGTTAGATATTTAATTTAGCTTTCTTCACAAATTGCTGAGTCTAAGAATGGATGTTTAAATTTTGGGATATGTTTAATTTATCTTTTTAATTATAAAAGAACATCGTGTGTAAAATTATAAAAGTGCTTTGCAGCTAGAGCGATTTGATAACTATGTACTTAGTCAGAAGTACTGTAATTGCGAAACATTTCGGCTATCATAGTGCAACAAAAATGTACATTTTGACCGCTCTGGAATCCATTTCAACTATGTTTTTACGTGACATCTCTACGTACGGACATAACAAAGGACTCTTTTTCCCAAAACGAATTGTAAAATGGATTCAGAAGAGAATTTTTTTTACGTCTGGACGTACCAACGTGCGTATGTATCTCCCATAACTGAAAAATGAGTATGGACGTAGCAACGTGCGTATGTATCTCCCATAACTCAAAAATGAGTAATCTCGGAAATTTTGTGTGCGTTTCTCAGAAATTTTGTATGCGTCATTGCTGTAACATGTAGTTGTGCACCTCCCTTTACAATTTAAAAGTTGTTTAAATAGTAATAAGCCTAATGAAGTCTCCAGTACTTTAGATTTGAAATTCTTAGTGAATTCAGTTTCTGCACCAACTTCAGTGTCTTTCTGCCGAGTGGGACCAAAAGTAAACTTTCAGTTCTGTGTAACGAAAAATCTGCCTTCTTGCCAGCTGGCTGAATTTCTTGTTCTTGTGTAGAAACTCTAATTTTTTTAACTGTTTTAACTGTATTTGGGATTTTCCGTTTTCTGTATTTTACAATTTTTAGTGAAGATGTTTTTAGTTTTTATGTATTTTTGCTTTGCGCGAAGTGAGAACTGAATTAATTGAATGAAAAAAATATATCTAATGAAATTATAGGAAATAAGTTTTAATGAAATACAGCAAAAAATGTGTACAATTTAAAAGGCCTTGCAAGGAAGTAATGTACGTACGGATATGTCCGCATCAGATATTTTTCTTTATTTTTGAAACTAATATAGGTGCTTGATATAGCATATAATTTATTGTCTAATTTTTAATATAGGACTATGTTCTTCAATGACGGTCTCAGGGACAAACAATTTTTTAAGAAGCAAAATATGTCGTAGTAGAATGCTTATGTCTCAATAACCCCAAAAGCTATAGCTTTCGTATATGGCTTATTTGGTATCTAAAAAATACCAATACAAAACTTAAGAACAATTTTGGAAACTGCAATTGTTATTGAACTACTGTGGGGTCTTAAAGGTAGGCAAAAATGCGCAGTATTTTGATGACGCGCGCACGCGAGTTAGTTTAGAACAGACGACGAGCGGTTGTGCGAGCGAAGTACTGATTTGGTTTGTGCAATATATAAATGCTGAAACATAAAGATTCACTAAGAATACAACGCAAGAGACAAACAGAAAAATTAAAGAAAATTTATTGAAAGAAGATAATAAAGAACGTTTAGCTGTAAAAATCAAAGAACGCAACAAGCGATGCTATGAATATAAGAAGAAGAAACTAAAATCGACTGAAGCTATTAGTTTTCAAATAAATCAAGGTGCTTCAACTTCTTCTACTGTTGCCAATAATATATCTCTTATGTCAAATTTCGCTGTGTCTTTACCAGATTATAGTAGAGCGATTCTTCAACGGTGCCTGTCAAATAAAAAAAATTGATCAGTTATGTACAAAATATTTAAAAATCTTAGGAACTAGTCTTATGTATCTAAACCTAGGGGCCGTTTGGAAATGTAACAGACAGCCTCCCTTCAATTTTTTTGCGTGATTATGTAAACGTTTGTATTATTAACGTAGTTAAAAGACATTATTTCTGGTGTGATTTAATTTTAGAATGATAGTTTACTACTTACCCATTGTCTAGTACTTTAAAATAAGCACATCAAAGCCATTGAGACCCCTTATCATTTACGATCACAACGTGCATTATCATTACTGCATCGTGGGAATTATTTTAGTAAATTAGAAGATTCGACCTTTTTTTCGCAGCTGTCTTTGCCATGGTTTGAGTCATAGCTTGGAAAAAAGAAATGACTTTGAAGTACCTTTTCTAAAGTTAGAGACTATAGCAACATACTTGCAACATTTTTACAGTTATTTAATCTTCTGTTTTTTCTTAGATTTCTTGCCTTTGTAAAACAAATCATTTTTGTTTTTTTAATTTATATATTTCCTAATTACTTGCATAAATATCAATAACAGAGTATTTATAATTACCATTCCTTTTAATATGCTATAATATATTGAATGGGCATAGTTTTTATGAACATTAACACTAGTATTGTAATTTATGCAAGACCTTTTAAATACCATATATTATGTACCTCAGTTATATAATAATCGTTTACTTTTGCAAATAACTCATACATTATTATGTTTCTCATTTATTCTTCATAATAACAGCAATTTGGGGAAAAGAAAGATCAGAAAATACTTCTAAAAACGATTAATAGGTAAATTGTCATTTAGAAAATACGTTTACAAGCAACTTTTCTATTGACATGACTGTTTGAAAGCGTTATTCGATACTCTTCTGACTTCAAATTTTTAAAACGAATGTTCTTTCTCTTACAGCTGCAATTATCGATGCATCCGGTTTGAGTTGTTTTCCTCCTGACTGCCAACCAAGATTGCGAAATTAATTGGATTGTTTTTAGCAGAATCTCAGGGTTAGTACTAAAATCGAATACTTTTATCGATTCCGTGTTTTAAGTTTTGATTATCTTTTTTCTGTCTTTGTTTATTCCATTCGCCATATGTTTTATCTCTCATTTTAACTGGGCGCACTAGAAGTTGTTCTCAGATCGGTTTCATCTTTAAATCTTCAGTACTTTAATCTCAAAACACGAAATGAAATATTGGAAAATCATTTTTCTGTCTTTCTTTTTTTCTCTAAAGCGTCTGATGAAAGTTTCTATCCCCTGATTCGTTGAGTACAAAATGTTAAAAGTTACATTTTTATTCGATTATAAATTAATATTTAATATTTCTTGTTATGTACGAGTGTCATAGGTTTTCATTATTTTGAGTGAATATATTAAATTCAATATAAATCATTGAGTATTTGAACTGTCAGGACTTGAATAAAATTTTTTAAATATTTTAGACACAGGCATTTTTTTTCTTAGTTATAAATTGAAAGCCGTTTATAAATTTTCTAATCCATTTATAGAATCGAATGTAACGAAATTAGAATTGAATAGAATATTTCTATGTTAAGAAATTAGTGTGGTTGAATAACTTTTTAATTAAAATTTCACAAAATTTAATTTTACATTTTGACGTTAAGGCATGGAAACAGTTTTTTTAAGTTTACCAATTCGTATGTCATGCTTTTGGCAGAATTTCTGTCTTCCCACGTAGGGAAAAAAATCTGTTTTTCAATTTATGACAATACTTTACTTATTAGCGGCCTATTTGGTATCAATAAAATTGTTCAAATTTAAACAAGATTCAGTTTTTCGTTTCGCGAAAGACGAACACTAAGCTCTTCCTATGAATCAACTTGCGTGTTAAGTTGAATTTTATGTAATTCTGAATTCGAAATTGGCGTGTTTTTTTAGATGTAACATACCACCTTATTTTGATACTCAACGGATATCAACAAGCTTATTAGCAGAAAATTTGCTTTTCAAGCTTCGACTTATGTGCAGTATTTATTTTCTGAATCCGATATATAATATATACCGTTAGTGTAAACAATGGAATGTGTTTAAAACTTCTGTATTAATTTTCTAGCCTACAGAACTGTGCTGTAACTCTCTTTACGTATATATTTGCGTTATTTTACCAAGTAAATAAATATACAAAATGTTGGTATTAGAAATATTTATTGCATACCACGTGTACCATTATGTTACACTACCAGAAAATTTATCTGTGGGCTGACAAGTGTTGCCATCTCCCAATCATAATAAATTTAATTTAAAGGCTTAGATACATTTAATTAGCAGAAAACATTACATATTTTTATAGTAAACATTTCAAGTGATTTTTTTACTATCACTTAAAAGTGTTACTTACTTACTAGTACTTTTAAACAAATCTCCTGTAAAAATTTTTTTTAGAAAAAACGTAAGTTAAGGTAAATAAAAAATAGTTCTATCCTTTTGCCATTGGAAGGGTCTTATGGTTTGTTAATATTTATATTTCAGCAAATTCCCCGTAATAAATTTTCTGAACTGTTCGTTAAATGCATATGTGTGCAATTTCAGCTAAATATATTATTACACATGATAGAAAAGTTAACTTATTAAAATATCTATCTACATATTTATTAATTTTAATAAAGTAGAGTGTTTTACAGGATTTCGAAGAAATTTCATTTTTTTAGTTTTAAGATTTCATAAAAATGCAATTTTAATGTTTGCGTGTATAATTTCTCTGAACTGGCCCATTAAAATTTCAAAAATTCTGATGAATTATGTAAACATAATATCTGCATAAAATGGCCAATTACTGTGCTTCTGATGACATAAACATTGTTAGAACTGTAATTAAACTCGAAATTTCATGAAAATTTCGATTCGGCACTTTTCATTGTCTCTCTTAAGATAAAAGTAATGATTATGTATGCAATACTGTTTAAATGTATAAATTATACATGCTTACAAACTTGTAAATGTAATTTTGTATTTGTTAAGTAATATTAAATATAATCTGATACGGAAGCCACATGATTTCCTTGAACAGCCTATTAAATTATCTTTTGCTGCACTGCCTGAAAGAAAATTGAAAACGACATCAAAAATTGAAAATTTTGAAATTAAATATCCAGATCAGTTTTTCTTGTACATGAATCAAATTTCTGTTAATTTTATTTTTTCGTAGCGAGTATAAAACTTTTCCAGATATAAGAACCGTCTGATCACATTAAAAGTTAGATTTTGTTATTTGTCGAAAGTTTTTTTAAACCTTTAACATTGCTCAAAACATGAATAATTTCGTCATTTAAAACACTTCTGTACCTAGAGGTAATATGACTACGACCAACAATTGCAAAGATGAAGGCTGTGTAGAAATTTTAAGGCGAGTAAGGAAAGACGTGTGTGTGTGTGTGTCTCTCTCTACATACACACGCGCGTTTGGCTCTGCCGATTGCGATAAAGAAGGGAAGTGCACAGCTAGATGTAATAGCAGTCCCATATACAAAAGTTCAACGTTCTACGGATAATCTTTTTTGAATTATGCAAGATGCATACATTCATACAAACGTACACACAAATATCCCTTTTGGATTTACTTCATATCCATTTCACAATTTATTTTCCGATTTGGGAGGGAACAAAGTCCTTTATTCTGTCCTTACGTACAGATGTCACCCACAAACGTGGTTCAAATGGATTCGGAAACTGTCAAAATGGATATTTTTGTTGAAAAATGATACCTCATTTTTTCCCGATTACAGTACTTCCTTTACTTCGTACAAGGTAGTAAACATAATGTAATGATATTATTTATTAAAAAATAATAAATATTTGCAGGATTTGAAAAAAATTATATAACTCTTAAATTAGAATTTCTCAAACTTGCACTTTTCCTGCTTACGTTCATGATATCTCTGAAACCATTCAACTGGATTTCAAGTGTTGGCTTATTGTATAAATTTTGTGAGAGTATAAAATGACCATCTATATGTGCATCTAGCTTAAAAATTAATATATTATTATTTTTGTATTAGATTATTACCCCTCCTGTATTAGATTATAAGAAATTAAATAATGAAGAATCTTCATGAATGTATGTATGTTTCTCGCGTTGTGAAGAAACAACGGTACCTAGAGCCATCAAATTTTCAATAATGTAGTTCTCAACCCGAATATGGGCACCTTGAAGCCCGAATTTGGAATATGGAATTTGTTCTATTATCTAGTTCATATTCTGTAAAAATTCCGAGAATTTGTAATTAACAAACTCAACGATTTCAAAGCGAGCAATGGCAACACTGTACGGAAATAAACAACATTTTTATTTCCAGCGCGCCAGACTGTGTATCGGAAATTCTAAAGATATGCTGTTTTTAAATATTTTAACTCAAATTCTCTCGAAACGTGTATGTGCCTGTAAATGAAATAAAACACCCCTGTGGGCGTAATATAAAATCTGAAAGGCTTCAGTTTGGGGGGGGGGGAGACAGGAGCAATGAAAAACGTAGTGTGCTCTTCCCGATACTCGAATCTTGAATCTCTCGAATAGCATCGAGTATATTTCCAATTATACTAGGAAGGTATGCGGAAAGGAGGGAAAAAATACATTGTGTACTCCCCCTTTTAAAGGACGACTGGGCATTAGGGGACTTATTCGCCAAATGTAGGTGTGACTAATTATCAGCCACCACCGTTTTAGTTCGGACGCCACTTGTAGAGTTATTATATTAGAGAAAAAAAATTTAAAAATTTTAATCTGAAATGTTTCAAATTTTAAATTACGTCCAAAGGGGCGTTTTTTAACATTTTGTGTGTTATCTTTATTTATTAAATATCATGTTCTGCGCACTTAAACCATAAAATTCAGTTTAAGAGCAGTATCGCAAAATAATTTTTTAATGAGCATATCTTTCAAATTTTCGATACACAGTCTCGCGCGCTGAAGATAAAAATATTTTTCTGTACAACTTTGCCATTGCTTGCTTTGAAATCCTTGAGGTTGTTAATCAAAAATTCGTTAAAAGTTTTACAAAATATAAAATCAATAATAAAACAAATTCCAAATTCGGGCTTCCAAATGCCCATATTCGCAAGAGGATTACGTTTTTCAACATTTGATGGCTCTAGTTACCGTTGTCTTATCACAATGCAAGAAACATGCATACATTCATGCAGATTCTTCATTATTTAATTTCTGTAATGTAATACAGCACGATAATATTTCGTGGCAACAATATGAAAAGTGAAACAACGCTTGTAGTGGATCAACGCAAAATGCCAAAACGAAATTAATTGTTCTTCTGAGCAAATGTCCTCTTTGGACTAAAAAACAAGAAACGTGAAAAAATGTTCAGTACCTTCGCCGGGTTCGAAGCCTGGACCTCGAGTACGCGTCGAGTTACACCACGAAGGTATGCGGGGAAAGGAGGGAGAAAATACCATATAATAATCTCAAAATATTCGAATAGGGGAACATGTAAATACATTTTACTTTTCTCTTTTGTGGTTACAAAAATGAAAGGCCCTTCTTTTTCTGCGTTATTTAAGCATTTATTTTCAGCGTTACTTTTATTCCATCCGTATGACAGTTTTAATTTTAAATTTTTTTAAACAGTCCTTACTATATTTTCATTCATTTTATATCATATACTATTCCTATTATAAAGACATTAGTAATTAGGCATTTTGTGTAAGTATCTGAAGTTAGTAATGTTTATAAAAACTGAGCGCAGTGTTAGCTGAAACAGATTCTATAATAGTTCTTGCTCTAACAGGCATATTTAACAAAAACAAATATGCTACGTTTTATAATTAGTCGATTGTGGTAATTTTGAAAACTAAAAATCCTTTGAACTGAAATATCTGCCTGAAGGATTTGTTATAGTGTGAAAATTTTCAAGCATCCGCAAAAAGTCGTCCAGTAATATTACAATTAATAAAAATTCTCCTTCATTGGAATCTAATTAAACGAAGAAAGAAGAAATCTAAAATTGGGTTTCTGCGTTTGACAATGATCTTAGCTT